TCCTGATACCTAGCAGTTTCCCAGGTCTCAGCAGAAAATTTCTTCTAGAAGCTACTGGAAATCAAATCACCCTTTCTGGGACATGTGCAAGCTTCCTCTGGCTTCCCAGGGATGGTTTTATGGGCTTCCTTATGAGGGCTCTGCAGAAGTCACAGGCATGAAGTCAGACTATTCCTTAGCTAATCATTCAAATAAGAAGTCAGGCTACATTGAAATGATGGATCTGTGGCTGAAAAATACATTTGGAGTACCCTCTGTAGCCTCGCCTGCCCGCTGTGGGTCCCCTCACCTCAGATCTGGGCTGTAGTGGGAAGGTGGAGGTCAGGCCGAGAGCCAGAGCAGGCCCTCAAGAAGTCTGGACGAGCAGATGCCCTCCCTGTGCAGTGCCATGCTGACTGGGGGAGGGCCTGGCTTTACTGCCAGGGTCACACTAGCAGCAACTAGTGGGCAGGGTTTTAAACCCACACTGTCCAACTCAGAGCCGGAGTCTTGATTGTTATGCAGTATTGTCACACCACACTTTGAGAATATTAGATCTTCTGGTGGTTCTCCCCCCACCCTCTCCACGCTGCTGCACTCCTCCTCACCCGGGGCAGGAACACCCGGACCTCCCCAGCTCAGACATTCTCCCTCCTGTCCATAGCCAAAGCTAGTGTCGGAGCCTCACCTAGCACAGCCCTGTGGCCACCAGACTGCATATCTCCCTTTCATGACCTCCGCCAGCTCAGCACAGCACAGATGCTCCTCGGTGGGCCACCACGAAATGAGGACCTCCTGGAGGACAAGGGGGTTGGGGAAATTGCCTTCAAAAGGCCAACGCCAAATCTTACCCGCCTCCACCTCCCAGTTCTCAGCTTGGGAAGATTTATGGTGCTGCACACATGGGTCATTCTTGAGATAAGGTCATAGATCTCGCGGCTGACAGGCCTCCTCAATCAGTGCTTCAGGAAAACTTTCACAGCTGATAAATGAGCTGCCCCTAAAGCCTCAAAGACAGGCTCCAAAAGGTCTCCATTGCTTAGGATATCTCACTCATCCTGCAAGAGGGACAGCCATCCTGGGTGCCAATACAGGAAGAAATATGACTGAGCGAAGCCCTGTCCCAGGCCCCCCGCTCTGTGTCCCCTCAGCAGATGCCAAGCACACAGGGAGCATCATTAGCCCTCAAGGACAAGGAGCCTGCACACAGTCACTGTCCAGCCAAGTTAACTGCAGGGGCATGTGCTGGATGATGAACCTAAAGGATGTCGTCTTTGGATCCAAGAAGGCCATGTCCAAGCTGACTGGGAGAGAGGGAGCCACATGGCACCAGAGGCAGGAGGCTAACAGGAGCCGCGATTGCCCAGCATCACTAGTTACTACCCAAAGCCCACTCTCCCTCCCCTCTCACAGGCAGAACTCCTTCTGAAGCAGTACTGTGCCCTCACAACTCCCTTGCAGCTGGGGATGCTACAAGACGTGTCAGTGGTATTCTCCTAGGGATTTCTGGGGGTGTTTTACCTTCCTGCTTCAGGCCCTGCCTCTTCTACCTTCCCCCCCTTCTCTCTCATGCCTTTTTGAAGATGTGAAGAGCTGCGGAGCATCTATCCTGCAACATGCTAAGGATGGAAGAGGAGAAAGACAGGAGGAACTGGGATCCCAATGACATCAGGGAACTTCTCTGCCAATGTGGAATGTCCACCTCTGGACTCGTGGTTATGTGGGAAAAAGAGCCCCCCCTTAGGTTAATCCACTCCTGTTGTGCTGCTGTCATAAGAAGCCAAACACAGCCCTGGGTGATAGAGTCCAAGCTCTTACTGACTCTGTGGATCTCAGTGAGTTGCTTAACCTGTTTCTAGCCTCAGTCTCCCCATCTGTATGAAGGGATGATGAGAGTAATACTCGCTACCATTAGTAAATCACCCACTATGTGCAGGCACCATCCCCACTGCATTGAGAAAGTGACCATCACACATAATAGGTCTACAGAGACCACTGAACAAAATAATACCTGCCTTGGCCACCTCACTGGGCTTTTTGAGAACCAAATAAGGCTGTTGTGTAAGAGCTACCCAGGTGCCTATTGAATCCCACACTCCCTGAAGTCAATAGGGGTGAGGTCAGAAAGATGTCCTCATCCCACACCGAGGGAAGGAGAAAACAAAAGTGATTTGAACACAGTTGTGCCAAATAGAAAGATGGCAAGTGGCTGCTGGGGAAACCAGGTCCATCTGTGTTGGTCCGCTTAGGGGCCTCTTTCAGAAATTAAATTCTAGATGTATCCCCAGCCCAGACAAGTTGCTGGACAAAGAATTCGTCTCCTGTCTGTGTCCTTCCCTCACTCACACTCCTGGCTCTGGAAGACCTGCGTGTAGTCAGGATGTCCTCAGGCTGACTGGCCCTGCAGGAGACCAGGCCTCTCACGCTGGAGGCTGCCCTGCCCCACCCCGCATCCCTGGGGTCTAGGGTGGCTGCCTTCTATGTCTTAGGGCCTTCTCATGTCATCTTCACCAGCTCACCAGACTGGTGTTATCATCCAGAGTTTACCGGCTCAAAGCCATACGATCACCTTCCTGGACCGGAACCTCTGGCCGGGAGCCCTAGGCTGACCTGTTTCCTGCCACCCTAAAAAATTATTCTGGCTCTGGGTCTCTGGTCTCTGCCTATGTATTTCTGCATAAGTGGTATCTCACCCTTGGCTGTGTGTGTGTGCACACACATTATCCTTCTCATTATGTATATGTCTCCCTCTGTTTCTCTCTGTCTCAGTCACTTTCTCTTGGTCTCTCTCTTGCTTTGTTTGAAGCTCACACCCTTTTCCCAGATCTCTGGCAGGTTGCCCCCTCTCTCTCTGGGTGGGTGCTTCCCTCTCCTCCCCCACCCCAGGCACACTGGCACACCTAGTGCACCCGCTGTTTGCCAACTGTGTCCCTTACCATACTCTAACCCCCAGGTCCTCAGGGACCATCTGCTTTGCTGGCAGTTACATCTTGAGTACTTAGCACAATCTACAGGGTAGAAGCAAAATGCATTCTTGTTGGATGAATAGCTGCTTGTTGAACATACTGTGAAGGGAAATGAAAGCTTTCCAACACTGGGAGACAGTGTGGTCACTCTCAGAGGCAGCTGGGAACTGGGAATAGAAAGGGAAGGAAAGCAATGGACGGAAAAGGCAATTTTCCAGTCCTCACAGAGCATACGATTAGAGGATTCACCAGATCATCTATATTATGCATGTTTACTGACAGGGCTCAGTGACCTAAGAGCTTAAATATGTGGCATAGTCATCAAAAACTATTTCCACGGAAGATGTGGGTTCAGACCCTGCTCCCACTCTCACTTGGCCTGGGCCTTATCTTCTCACCAGTCCAGAATAAGCCCTGGAGATACTGGCCTGTAGTTCTCTTTCTTTGACCTGTCTTTATCTGATTTTGGAATTAGGGTAATCCTGGCTTTATAGAAAAGGTTTGGAAGTATTCCTTCCTCTTATATTTTTTTGAATAGTTTGAGGAGAATAGGTGTTAATTCTTATTTGAATATTTGGTAAAATTCTTCTGTAAACCTGGCTGGACCAGGGTTTTTGTTTGTTGGGTTTTTTGTTTTGTTTTGTTTTGTTTTGTTTCTGCTTCAATTTCATCAGTAGTTATCAGCCTAGTCAGGTTTTCTGGTTCTTCCTGATTGAGTTTTAGAAGGTTGTATTTTTCTAGAAATATGTCAATTTCATCCAGGTTGTCCTGTTTGTCAGAATAAAGTCATTCTTGTATTTCTGTGGGGTCAGTTGTTACTTCACCTCTTTCATTCCCGATTTGCAACAGGATGGATAGACCTGGAGAGTACTATGCTGAGCAAAGTTAGCCAGTCAGAGAAAGATAAGTATCACATGATCTCACTCATATGTGGAATCTGATGAACAAAATAAACTGATGATCAAAAATAGACTCACAGACCTAGAAGCATGAGCAGACTGTTGAACCTCAGAGGGAAGTCAGGGGAAGGGAGGGGTGGGAACAGATCAATCAAGGAACTTGTATGCATCTAGCTCCAAAGGGGTGCCGCCTCCCCAGGAGGCTATGGATTGAAGGCCAAGGTACACAGCATTAGCAGGATGTCTGGCACAAATAAGTACATAATCAGTGAATGATGACAGAGGCTACTGCTAGTATCATCACAGCAACAAATGATTTTACCAGCCACAAAAGATGGGGCACTTTGGGTCTGAAAACTTGGGCTTCGGCATTGTTGCTGTGTCCCACCATGTTTGCACTGCCCCGGGGCCCTTGGTGCCTTCCTCTCCTGGGTGCTCCTCAGAACAAGCTTCTCCCCTCACCTCAAGGCTGAGTGACAGGATTAAACAGACTCTGGAGTGGCTCCCTCCTTGTGTAGCCATTGCTACCTGAGGCAAGTTGGTTAACCTCTCCGCATTTCATATCTTCATCTGTAAAAAGATAATAGTAACTCAGTAGACTGTGATGGGAACTAAATGCATCGATAATAAGTAAAGCACTTGGAAAAATGCCTGACACATAGTAAGTGCTCAATAAATTTAGCTATTATTATTTCATGTGTTGATATCTTATAAGCCAACGTAGTTAATAGTTGTATATTTTAATAAAATATATTTGTATATTTAATAATATTTGTATATTTAATAATAAAACATAAAACTTATAAAAACTTCTAGGTATAACAAACTTTTAAAAATCATTGCTGATCGCTGAATCTCTGTTTCCTCCTCCCTGTGCCTGAGACCAGCACACCCAACTCACAATGATCAGCGGGCGGTCGCCCACACCACCAAGCACCTACTGGAGGGAGGGGCCTCGCTGGGCCTGATTAAAGGTCTTTGTGGGTCTGGCCCTGCACTTGGGCCAGAGAACTGAGACCAAAGGAACCCAGACCCTATCCAGGAGATCTTAAAGAGAAAACACTTTTAATCTGAAGCCATGTAGGAATTAATCCATCTTTTCCACGTCTGAGACACAGAAGAGGCTGGATTACAGAAATGAAATACAAGACAGAGAAAGGTTCTCACAGTTCAGCTTTTATTAAAATGGAAGTAACAAAGTGTGGGAAACTAGAACATGATTCCTGTTAAAATGATACACCCAAGGAACTGTTTCTTCGGAGAGCACTGTAACTGATCGAGCATGTGATGAGTGTTGGTTTACAACATAGACAGTCCCTGCTGTCCGAGCAGAAACCACCAGACAAGGGTCTTTCCTATGCAATGTATTGGACGGGTCAGTGGTTAAGTCTGCCTGCCTATGGACAATCACAGACAGAGTGCCCACACAGACATACACATTCAGTGTCTTGAGTTTCCTTTCAAAGAAAGTATTTTACACATCATATACAAATTAAGTCCAATGAGGGTCCTTTATTGCCACTGAAAGGGGGGCGGGATAATTTTAAATTCATAACCAAAGGCAAGAACATAGCACAGGAGCGATTTGTTTCTCCAAACGCCACAGTCCCGTGTGCTCCTGCCGTGGCTGATCCATGTGAGTCCCGTGACGAGCTGCACAGGCTGCGAGGTGTGATCCTCCGTCCCCGATGCTGGCAGAGCTGCCAGCTCCCCTGATGGTCAGTAGGTGCCCAGCACAGCTGGGCATGAGGGCTTAGAACTCTGAATAGTGCAAACACTTAAAGAAAATACATTCCAACCTCCTTGCTTCTCTCGGCAAACACTTGAAAACTCCAGCTTGCTGGAATGAGTTTGCTCAGCTTCCCAACTTGACCCAACAAGGTGCAAATGGGGAACATGGAGGCAATTCAAATGGCACCTATCCCAATAGTAATAAAAAATAAAGTATTTTTAATGAGGCTAATGGCAGATAAATACACAAAAGAGACCTAGAGTATAGACACAGCCCAAGAAACAAGTACTTTTGTAAGTGTAATGTGAGCAGCCAGGAAGCACATGCTTGGCACATTCTTCCTGGGGTCATGAGAGTGACCCTCTGTAAGTTCACAGGCAACAGGCTTCCAAAGGGGCATCACCTGGCTGCAAAGGCCTTCAGCTGCTGGAAGCTTCAGAAGACTGAGGAGACAGAAGAGATGAGGATGGGTCTACTGGACCTAGGACTCTCCTGGGAGCAGGTCCTGGGGGGCAGGCTTTTTTCTGAGCTTCACTAAGCCACAGTGACCAGGCTGTGCCAACCAGCCTCACCACTGCAGGAAGCAAACTCCAAAAGAGCAGACGCAGGTGGATGAGTGCTGAGGAGGCTTAACATTAGTCCCAAGGGTTTCAGGAAACACCGGTGGTGACTGTGTTTTCTATCTGGAGCCAGAGAACAGAGACCAAAGGAACCCAGATCCTATCCAGGAGATCTTAAAAAGAAAACACTTTTCATCTGAAGACATATGAGAATTAATCTTCTGAAAATCCATTTGGGAACATGAGAAATGTAGGGAAGATAGCTATAGGCATGGACTAAGAGTGACTGACGGACAGACCAAAACATTTCATTATCATGGACAACAAAAAGCAATTCAAATATCCTGAAAAATTATCTTATAAAAATACCTACATTAAGTTTTTGCCTGAAAGCTATAGCTTTGATTTTATAAAAAGGCAGTCTCTGAAAGGATCTGGCTCAGGAATATACGAACATCACACAACAAATATCAAAAGTAAGACAGCTCAAAAAGCATTTTAAGGGATGTTGCAACTGGTGTGCCATGAAACAAAATTGAGTGTTCTTATTGCATAGAGAAAATGAGGTCACTTTCATTTGCATAATACTGCAACTTTTAGGTGGAGAGATGCCTTTGGGTATGTATGAGAAATTACTTTGGAATTCAGAGTCTGGCTTCTGTGTAGTCCAAATCAATATCCAAGTGGCATCTAAGCTGCTTCTTACCTTGGGCCACAATTCTATTTCATGACTGTGATGGGATTTCAGACACATCACCGGCAAAAAGCTGCATTCACAAGTAGTTGTGGCCACCTGCATGGGGGTTGGGGGGTTCGTCTACCACGTGACCAGCATGGACTTGAAAATAAGTATGCTTGTCCACAGTGGAGAGAGAATAGTACCTGGTGACAAAGAGGCATCTAGTTTTTATGGCATCTGTGGGCAGTTAGAGCAGTTTGGCTTTTTAGTGATGACATACCAGTGTCCCAGTCCCAGGGAGAAAGGGCACAAGGAGAAAATGAACGTGGCCTGAGCAGCACCACCAGTAGGGGGCGGTGCTTCCTTGGAGGAGAGGCATGAGGGGGAACCAATAGCAAAAGCCCAAAAGCAAGAAAGATGGCTAGCTTTCAGGGAAGGGACCCGCTGGGAAGACGACATACAAACAGCAGTCTCTCCCACACAAGCGTGGAAGTCCAGCTGCTATGTGGAGGGGAGGGGATGGGATCTGAAACCAGCTGTGGGAACAGCACACATCAGACCCAATCTCACCCTCATCCCCAACACACACACACACACACACACACACACACACACACACACACCAAAACTAAGTCCAAAACCTCCCGCAGAGAGGGAGGAAGAGCATTTGGAACAAAAAGCTCATTCCATCAGCTTCCAACCCAGAGCAGCAGGGCTCTAAAACTAGCCGTCTCCGTGTCTCCGTGTCTCCGTGTCTCCGTGTCCCCGTGTCTCCGTGTCTCCGTGTCTCCGTGTCTCTGTGTCTCCGTGCTGGTGAGAGCAGAGCACCAACTGGAAGTGTGCCCCGACTCCCCTGAAGGCATTTCTCACGGTCCCACCAAAGCTGGTATTCTGGCCTCTTCCCAAATCTAGAAATTCTGGGTGCCTTGGTCCTCTCCAGATCTCTCATTGAAATGACATCTGCTCAACATGAAAGTTTCATCTTCAAGAGAATCCAGTTTTTAGTGCACAATATACTGTAAATACACAAAGTGGCCAACTAGCCGGGGAAGATCCCGGGTTTCCAACTGTGAGCATGAGGGGAAGGGAATGCTGGTCTCCTACAGCATCCACTTGGAAGGAGCCCAGATGAATCACAAGTCCAGTGTCAGGCTCATAAGCCCCTCGGCTCCCTCTGCGGGGACCCTGACATCATGGAAGGTTAAACCCCGGACACAAGACCTCCCCTCCTTATGCCAGAAATCCCAATGTTAGCAACTTGCTAATTTAGGAACAGCATAGCTTTAAGGTTATTTTTAATGCAAATGACTCTGTGCACCCTCAAATACCTCCCTGCAGACTCTTGAAATGGTCTTTAATAACTTTTGCCTGTGAACTAGCAAAATTCTCTTTAGCTCCTCTCTTAAAATGCAGTTCCCCCGGAGAGAGAGCACACATCCAGAGCCTGCCGTCTCCTTCTCCACAGGGGAAGTAAGGAGGAGGGGAGTGTTCTGAGGGCTGGAGAGAGGGTACAGAGCACAAGGACAGGAAGACAAGGACCTGAAACAGACTTGACCACCATCATGAAGTGCCAACGAGAAGCCCAGCTGGTATATTCCTTCCATCCATGACGTCTGAAGCACATGCGACCCCATCCGATGCAGGACAAACCAGGCTGTGGGTGGGAGGTAGGGTGACCTCTTACTTATCCTCCATATCAGAACACTTTCGATGGTAAAAAGGATTTTGGGAAGAATTACTTCTGGATAATAAATATAATGGGGACTTGCATATCCTGGAGAAATCCAGAAGTAGGCTTCTCTCTGAGACCTTTGTGGCCAGAAGCCTTTCCACTTTGGTGTTTTTGTTTTTGTTTTTCATGTATTTTTTCCTAGTGTGTTACTTGGGGCTCCTCTGAAGAGCTAGCTGAAGAGACACAAACTTCCCAAACCTGGGATTCATGACATCAAAAACCAGTGGTCCAAAGACAGCAGCTCTTGTGTGTTTCCTGCAGAAGAGACCAAGGAAGAGCCCGTTTGCTCCTAGCTCTAGCACAGAGAGGTCACGGTGCAGTCTGAAAATGCTCATCTCTTCAGAGCCAGAGTCAAGCCAGCATGTGGGCATCAGAGCACTGCCTCCCTTGCCAGTCATTTCTTGACATCCCTGTCCAACTGGACATCCTGGAGGCAGAGGCAGCCATAGTCTAAGGCGCCCACAGGAAGAGAGTTTCTGAGATTTGATTTTTAGCACAGCGGAAGGATCAGTAGTACAGAAATCCAGTAGCCTGTCACACCCCGACCCCAACTTAGTGAGATATCCTGTTCTAAACACACACACACACACAACACTCTCTCTCTGAGGCGCGCACACACAACACACACACACACACACACACACACACACACACACATTCTCATACACACGTTCTCCCTGTAGCCCAGAGCCATCAGAACCCATGGCTCGGGCAGAGACCAAACACCCTCAGAGGTGCAGGAGGTGGGGCCCGAGTCTTCACTCCAGACTCCACTCTGCCAAGTCAGAGGAGGACGGTTCTCACTCCGCTGCAGGCTCTCCCCGCGAGTGTGATCCAGCTGACGTGACCCCTCTCTTTTGAGTCCCAGGCAGCACCCCTCCCTTACCCCACGTCCTGGAAGTGGGAGGTAGGGGTCACAAGGGCTTGTGAATCACAGCAACACCTAAGATAAAAGGGGGAGAACATTATCATCTCAGTCTCTCCAGAGTCCATGAATGTAAGACATCCTAAACTGCAGCAAGGGAAAACTAAATTGCAATCCTACCTCTGCCACCGGGTCAAGCTACACTGTCACCTCCTGACCTCTTTAGACTCCATTCCAATATTATTCAGTGTCATCTAACTGAATGCCCTTCCCCCAGTGCTAAGTTCTATCCTTGGATAAACACTCCAGAATGCCCATATGTGGTGCAGTTTTAGCCAAGTTGAACCACACTCTCAAGAGCAAACTTTGTAAATCTGTGTATGACCCTGCACCCCTCTGCAATGGATGAAGCCACATAGCAGATACTGTGTAGGTTGGTTCAGCCAACATCCCCCAAGTTTCTGTCCTCTATACAGAGACCAGCAATTAGGAGTCCAGCTTCCCAGACTCTCTTTCAGCTGGAAGGGCCATGTGACCCAGTCCTGGCCAACAACATTGTGAATGCAAGTCTGCCCGTGCTACCACCTTGGCTTTGTCCCTTGTCCTGCTTCAATTGCTCACCCAAGGCCCAAGGCTGCAGCAGAAGCTACTAATGAAGCTGGCAGGACAGAAAAGAGGAAGTCCTGGCTCTTCAATCACAGTTTGAACCTCCAGACCTGCCCTTAACTTCTTTCTTCCCCGAGACAAACATAATCCTTTCATACTTCTACAGGTATCTGTAAACTTTTCTGATACTTGCAGCTGAACAAAGCCCTAACTTACGTGTAGGGTCTACAGAAATGATGGTACCTGGATCCTTATTTTAATATATTCCCATGACTATAAAACCTCCTGGTTGAAGGTGAAATTAATAGAGCATTGCTAAAATAATAATAATAATAATAAGAAGAAGAAGAAGAAGAAGAAGAAGAAGAAGAAGAAAAGAAAAAGAAACCGAATAACCCAATGGTGAGATTCTGCTAAGAAATCCATTTCATGGTCATTTCTAGACAAAGGTACAGTCATAAAAGCTTTGCTGTATCAGAACCAGAGTCTTCAGACCCGATATGCTGCCTGACCTTGAGGACATCTCGCTGTACCCCATTCTCAATTCTCATTCACAAGGTAGCTTTTTTTTTAAGCATGTTCCTGTATTGTTTTTTAAATATAAACTTTCTCTTTTTATTATACAAGTAAAGTATTCCCATTATGGAAAATTTGGAAAGTACAGACAAATACAACGTAAAAGAACTTGAGTCCCTTCTTACAAAGAGAATCACCATTACCTTTTTGGAATATTTCCTGGCTTCTCATATAATCACAATAATTTTCTGAGTGGTTTCCATGTGCTAAGCACTTTCCAACTATAATCACATTTCGTTCTCACAACAGCCCTAAGAGGCTTGGTATAATTTTGTTCTCATTTTACAAATGAGGAAACAGAGGTTCAGCCAGATTGATTACCTTGCCCAGAGTCCCAGGGCAAGGTAATTCTAAGCGCTCACACCTGAGCTTTCCCCTCTGGTTAAGGCATGCATGGAGCCAAGGAGTGTCCCTTGCGGGCCCCACTACCTCCTGCTGGAAAATGCCCTGCCTGTCCCACTGTGACTTCAAGAAGAAAATGACACCCTGGTTTTAATAATTAACCCTGGGAAGAGAATCACTCTAGAACAAAAATACCTCTAAAATCTCTTGTACTGAGTAGAGAAAAATCCTAAATGAGTGAATGAAAGTAAAGTAAGTTCACTGCAATTAAAGCCCTATGTTGACAAGCATGTTAGAGGTGAGCCTGACACACCCAATCTTCCTTTGCCCTGAAATCCAAACAAGAAGGAGTGAATGAATGAACTTTCTAACAGAGAAAGGAAATGGGAATAACACCAGCATCGTCCTTAAGTGGACTAAATAAGATAAGGGTCCTCCAATACTTAGGATTATGCTTGGCACATTGTATGTGCTCAATAAGCACATGTTAGCTCTAATTATTCCAGTTTCTGGAGAACCAGATACAAGGCACTGGGCTACATGATGGAAACATGTTTGCTTGTCTATCTATTGACCCCTGACCTCAGCAACGCCAACTCTGATCCTGCCCCTGCACCAAACCCATCACACACTCCCCAGGAATAACTTCATGTATTCTTTCCCCCAGTGTTTTGCCTGGAATGCTTTTTTCCCCCAACTCGGAGCTGGGGTCGTACAAGGGGCATGGTTTGAAAGTCAGATCTGGTTTGAATTCTGACTTTGCCATTTTTTAGCTGCATGGTCTTGAGCAGGTTACTCACGCCCTCTAAATCTATTTCATCATGTAACATTTGGCCAGAGGGCTGTTGAAAACATCTACACTGCACTAACACACTGCCCGGGGGCAGAGGGAGGAGAGGAGGCACCGGCAAAGGGCAGCTTCCTGCGTGACTGATCTGCCCTCAAAGTTCAATCAGCTCCATCTCCTCAGCAGTTCTTCCCTGACTGACAGCTCTCACCTGCCGGGTCCTAACACCTGTATAGAGCATTCCACTTGGAATTTATGTGTGCATCAACTTGTGTGTCCTGTTTTGTGTAGGCAGATCTTAACTTCCAATTTCTGGAAAGCAAGAACTGCATCTTATTCCACCTAGAAGACCAGCACAAAACAAACCAGGAATGGCAATAACATTCCAAAGCCTCCTCTGATGACTTCGATCAATCGGAAGAGGCTCCCTACAGCCTATGTTAAGACTTCTGCGCAGCCGTGTGAGATTCAGTGCCCGCCCAATCATGGCAGGTACTGGCCCAGGAGGCTGCCATAGACCAGTGTTTCCCAACCTTCTCTCATGATGAGAATCACCTGGTGGAGTTGTTAAAACACAGATTCCCAGATCCCAACTAAGAAGAGCTAAACTAGAATTTTTGGGAACATATAGGTAAAATTGCATACCTAACTTAGTGCTCTGTATATAAAATCTGTCTTAGAGCACTAGTTAAGTATACAATTTTACCTATATGTTCCCAAAAATTCTAGTTTAGCACTTCTTAGTTGGGATCCGGGAATCTGTGGTTTAACAACTCCACCAGGTGATTCTCATCATGAGAGAAGGTTGGGAAACACTGCCATAGACACACTGTCTCATGGGCCCTGACCGCCTCTGCTGGGCCTAGGGATAAGTTTAGTTACAGATACAAAGGGGGGCAAAAAGAAAGAAAAAGGAAAGACTTGGGAACTTACATTCAGGTTTGCTGGGGAAACAAGTGCTAATTGTGGGCATCTGTAATGAGCACAGAATGAAGGCGTGGCCATCCCTGGAAGAGGCTCTCAGTTCTAAGTCAGCAAGCTTACCCCCTGGCCCCCTGAACCCCTGCGTGGGGTGGGGCACACCGACCTGCGTAGCTCCGCCCTGTGCTCATGTTGGTTGGCAGCAGCGTCCATTTGTCAGTGGCGGGATTGTAGTACTCCACCGAAGCCAGGTTGCAGGATCCGTCATCCCCTCCAACCACATACAGGAGCCCGTTCACCGCACAGACCCCTGGGGGTCGAACAGAAGCCATGGGAAATGAGACAGCAGGAGCACAAGGGATCGCAATGCGCACGCGACAAATCTGGATTGCCCTGGAGGCTCTTTCTCCCCTTCGTGACAGCAAAAAAGAGAGCTGGCAAAAGCACATACTGAAAGCAGCCACTGGCTCTGCGATCCCCTTTCTACCAGGTCACTTCTCTGACTGGGGAGCTTTCAGACTACATGGTCTTGCAATCGTTCCCTGTCCCCGACTCTATAAACAGGTAGAGCGTTAAGGGGACAGGCCTGTCTTCCGGAGTGTTGCCCACCGGTGCACCCACCTCCCATGCCCAGCCTGAGCTGCAGGGTGACAACTCGGGGAATTTCATGCACCCCACTCCTGCGATTCTTGGAAGCTTCTCCCTGAGACACCCTATTAGACTCGCACCGTGTGGAGCTCAGTATGGTGTCTCGGATCCCTTCACATGACTGGGTCCGAGTCCACACACGGCTCCCAGGGAGGTGGCGCTTCACTCACCCTCATCTCACAGGGAGCTAGTTTGGGGGCAGGGTGTCATGAGCGGGAATTCAAGTAAGACAAAATAATCCTTGCTCATCCAGTCTTTAAAAAGCCATAGTCTAATATACTGTGTGTTTTTAAAATTAGAATAAGAGATTGATGATGCTCAAAAAATAGTAACTATCTGTATTGGTGAAGATCCTCTAAAATACTGCACCCACTTCCCGGGTGGTGTCGAAAGCACATGTGCCCCTTCTGACTCAAAAATGCACTTCTGGTGCAAACTCGATCACTAACTCTGCATGATGTTGCAGAAGTGAAGGGAACCAAGTTTGCTAAAGTAATTGTGGTGATAGAAATGTTTTAGCCCCAGAAGCTACTGAAGTGGTTCATTCTATCCTAGTACAGTGTAAAAAAAAAAAAAAATGCACTTCTGGCCTTTTATTCTAAAAAATAATTTCATATGTATGCATTGGTTAACTAGAAGGACAATTTATAATAACCAAAGCATTACTTATAGAAAGGGTGGAAATAATCTAAAATGTCCTCTAGTGAATTCGTTAAATTATTATATGGGCATTTAAGTAATTTCATGTCAATATATTTATAAGATAGTCATAAAAGATTATAAAGTGAATTTAAAAGATTGGTTATCAAACACTATTAGAGTGATTCAATTTCTGTCATAAAAAATAGAAATGTCTATATGTGAATGTGTGTACATATATGTGTTTCCATCTAAATTAACCCTCAGGCTGCAGATACACTAGCTGTCTTGCAAGTTCTGTAATTCCTCACTCAGGTGGCTTAAAGCAGTGTTTCCCAACCTTCTCTCATGATGAGAATCACCTGGTGGAGTTGTTAAAACACAGATTCCTGAATCCCAACTAAGAAGTGCTAAACTAGAATTTTTGAGAACATATAGGTAAAATTGCATACCTAACTTAGTGCTCTGTATATAAAATCTGTCTTAGAGCACTAGTTAAGTATACAATTTTACCTATAGGTTCCCAAAAATTCTAGTTTAGCACTTCTTAGTTGGGATTCAGGAATCTGTGTTTTAACAACTCCACCAGGTGATTCTCATCATGAGAGAAGGTTGGGAAACACTGGCTTAAAGGACAAGTTACATCACAGCAGGCTTAGACCATGAGCAAATTAATGAACTCTGTTTACAGTTTCAACAAGTCAGCTACAAATGGGTTTAACCAACAGGTGATTTGAATTAAAGGAAATAAACCTGCCTGGAAGTCACCTGTCTGTCTTTCTGAGCCGAGAAGCTGGGGTAAGCCAACCTTCACAGAGTCAGGAGGCTTAAAGCAGACATGCCCACGCAGGCCACGGCCCAAAGGGCAAAGTTCTAACAACAGTTTAATGGCGGTATTAGGCTCCAGGAAGAAAAACCCAAACACTCGAAGGAAAGTCATTTCTGTACGAAAGGGAAAGGGTAGGGAAGGGACAGGAAATAGGAAGAAGGGAGTATGGGAAGTGGTTCTCTTGGAGAATGAATCATAAATCCGCTCACAGGTACCCCTGAAAGGAAACTGACTGGTTTCAGGCGGGAAGTGGGAGGTTCTCAGAGCCACGTCCTGGCAAAGAAAATACAAAACCAAGTGCTGCTGTCCAGTCATGTCCTCGTAGCATCGATGGCACCCAGAGGGCTCTTCCGCTGTCCATCTCTGTGCGCTGAAAGTCAGCACCTTTCACTGAGAGGAAGGCACCCTCTGTCCCTCAGTGGGGACCCTGTGGCTAGCTTTTGGGGTTCCAAGCTCTCCCTCCAGTAGCCCAGAGCCTACCAGCAAGTGGACACTCCCTGTTCATGAGACAGCTCAGCCCCAGTATGGGAGCCTTAGAGCCAGGGTTTGCGGAGAAAAGACCCACACCCCCGAGGGAGGCAGAGAGAGCGGCCGTGTTACCTGCATTGCGCCGGCACATGTTCATGTCGGCCACCTGCTTCCAGGTGTTTGTTCCGGGATCATAAACCTCAACGCTCTTCCTCACCAAGGGCCCGTCGTGCCCTCCCGTGGCATACAGCTGTCCGCTGAGGACCCCGACCCCTGAAAGGCAGAGCACAGTGTCCCCCCTCAGGCTGGCGGCAGGAGGCCTGGTTTCTGGTCCTGACAGCTACCACCAGCAGGTGACATGGGAGTGCTGGTTTGTCCCCTGGTCCCTCCGTGTCCTCATCTGGGAAACAAATGCAATACCCTGCCGCCTCGTATGGTTGTCAGCCTTTAAACATCGAAATAAAAAGCAAATACGACCCCACTTCTACTTAAAAAAACAAAAATATATTTTATATGTGCATATACATAATATGCGTATGCAGGTGTAAATAAATGGAGGTTCATATAAAAAAAGGGCGGGGGGAGAGGGACTGAAAGAACTCCACAACATTAAAAGTGGCTATTTCTGAGTGGTAGAACTGTATTTCTTCTCCTCTCTCCTAGTTTTCCTTCACTGTGGTATTACTTTCATTACTCAGCCTCTTAGCCGTTGGACAGAAAGAGTTAAAGATGGAAACAGTCACACAGCAGGAGTGCTGAGGTCATTACTGCAGATCTCCAAGCCAGTCTGCAAGCAGAAGCCCTTCTCCACTCCTTACCGCCCACCCCCCACCCCTTCCCTCCAGCCCCGTTCTCCTCTAGATGGCAGAGAAGGGCAGCGAATCACTCACAGTGACAGGCCTCAGCTGAGGGCTAGAATTGCATTCTTCACAAGTTTTAATATAACCGTTAAAAATCCTTTAAGACAGCCCTGGCCAGTTTGGGTCAGTGGCTAGAGCAGTGGCCGGCAGACTGAAGGGTTCTGGGTTCAATTCCGGTCAAGAACATGTACCTTGGTTGCAGGATTAACTCTCCTTCCGCCTCACCCCCCCACCTGCCCCCCACGTGCGGGCACATGATCACGTGGGCGAGGCAACCAATCCATGTGTCTCTCTCACATGGATGTTTCCGAATCTCCTCCTCCTTCCACGCCCTAAAAAACAGTGGGGGCGGAGGAATCCTCAGGTGCGGATTATCAAAACATAACAAAAATCTTTTTAAAAAGTCAAGAAAATCAAAGCCAGAGAGGAGGAGGGTGGCGCAGTAGTCTAGGAAGAACGACCTGGTGGCTGGGACACCTGGTCCTGGCCAGGTCTCTAACGTCCCCTTCCTGGATGGGGATCCCATTGTAAGGGGGTTGGACTAGATCATGGCTAGTGCAGTGGTCAGCAAACTGCAGCTCGTGAGCCACATGTGGCTCTTCGGCCCCTTGAGTTTTTAGCAAAGGCCAGCTTAGGAGTACCCTAACTGGTAACAAGATACCTACCTATATGGTTTAAGTTTAAAAAATTTGGCTCTCAAAAGAAATCTCAATCGTTGTACTATTGATATTTGACTCTGTCGACTAATGAGTTTGCCGACCACTGGGCTAGTGCCCCACAGACTCCGGCCGACAAGCTGCACTGAACCAGCGGGCTGCAGGCTTCCCTCCCGGAGACCCTGGCCGGGAGTCAGTACCTCACGTGATGGGGAGTGCAGCCAGGTTTTAGACGCACAGACCCAGGTCTTTCACGTGTTTCCCTGTGCCCAAAGGCAGGTTTTTAACAAATATTGTTTGAGTGACAGAATACTTAAAATTTCCTTCAGCAATTATGCTGGTTGGCTAGTGGCTCCTTGCAGTTGCCCTAACTTAACAGCAGATGGTAGTGTTGTATCAGCAATGACTAATCTAATGGGCTTAGGACAGGGATTTTTCAATTGGTGTACAGCAATAATTGGAAAACGCGCATTATTTGACTAGAGGCACTGACTTCTTTCCCCTTAGATTGTGAAATAAAAAATGACAAGAGCCAACACAACAATAGCCATCTAGTGTGAATGAATCAAAATTATACTTTTTTTTTGTTTTTTGTTGCGGATTAGCAAAAAACATATTTTTTGGTGTGCCATAGAATCTTAGTGATTAGTTTGTGTGTGGTGAGATGAAACGGTGGAAACTGGCTCAGGATAATAAAATTCAGTATCCCAAAGCTGCCTCACCTTCCCCTCCACACGCCAGGACCAAAATGGCCTTTTTCCCACAGCCGTCTGCTGGCAGTCGCCCATGCCCGCTAAGGGAGCAGGCAGCCTCCCAGGCTCGGGGCACCACTGCCCTTTTGCCACCGCCTCCGCAAACATTCACTCAGAGGCTTCCTGGACCTACAGCCACGGGAGCTCCTGGCACCACAGAGGGCCTCAGGCGGCCAGAGGCCAGGGCCTCCGGGTCCTCGGCCACCAAAGACTACCCACACCCACACGGGGGGTTCCCAACGCCTAAATCACGGTCCCTGCTTCCCCAGAACAGCAGCGTTGTAACCGTCCAGGACTCCCAACCAGGCGAGAGGCAGGAGCGGCGAGTGATCGCCACTCAGCAACAGCCCTGAGCAGCCCGGCAGGCGAGCAGCGAGGCCTCCAAGGCAGCTCTGTGCACAGCTGAGCCTGCATCCTCAGGCAGGGCTGTGTCCTCGGCTCCACACGGGGCGGCCCTTCTTCACTTCCTGCTCAGGACGTTTCTAAAAGCAACCACACGTTTCAGTGGGTGCTGCTCACTCCTGCTGAGCTGTCCCCTACTTCCTTGGGCTTAAACACTTGCTCTCACCCTCAAGTCTCTTAGAGGATTTTTTAGGAAGTACAAAAAAGACTCCAAAATTACTAAAAGAGCTCTATGAGGCAGAAGAACCATGGGACTGGTGAACTGATGTGGCCCCAAGGGAACATCCATTGCAGCCCACTCATTTCCCATCTCAGGAACCGGAGGCCAGAAGAGAAGAGGACCCGGCCGGAGGTCCGCAGCCAGCAGGAGCAGACCGGGCAGACCCAGCCAGGCCTGCTGACTCCCATCGTTTGCTGCATGTTTGGGAAGTGCCAGCCGTGGGGATCAGCAGAGAAAAGCTCCCTGAAAATTGCGCGTCAACCATAGCGCGTCCCGAGGGGAATCGCACAGCTTCTCTCTGCTAACCAGCAAACAAATATTAACGTAGCATCGTTTTTAAAGAATGCTGAGGAAGTGGTCATATGTTTAATACTATAAAATGGGATCACAAATCAATCTTCATAAATTCAAAAAAGAGAAAGGCTTAGCATTGTGGGGGAAATGCCCACTCATTGCTTCTATTCCCAGAAGTCACACCACCTTCCCACCAGGCCCAGGTTGGTCATCGGTCCCCATTCCCCACAGGAACTGGGACAGAAATCCAGTGCCCATGCCCCAGGCCTCTCAAGTCCTCTCCTTGGAGCCTCTAAGCACATGTGTCAAACACAAGGCCCGCGGGCCAAATCCGTCCCGCCAGGCCTTGCAATGTGGCCCGCACCGCGCTGTCATCACTGCACTCCACTGCGTTTCCATCACAATGACAGTTTATGACTGTTCAGTAAACCATTCGGCCCGCGATTTAGGCTGGATTTTAGATTTTGGCCCCTTCTCTGATTGAGTTCGACACCCCTACGAGTCTAAGGTGATGAGGTAGACAAAACAGGAAGAAGGAAACGTTGTTCCACTTCCCGAAAAATCCTGAAGGGCCACGCAGCTCCTGGTCTTCCCGCAGGAAGTGAAAGTGGGAAGCCCTTCTCTTCCCACGTGGGGGAGGCGTGAAGCAGGGAAAGCGAGCAGGGGCGACCCAAGTTTATCTCCAAGTATGAACTCTCACAGGTTGTTTTTCAATCCTCGAGACAGACACTAGACAGGCAAGCTTTAGCTTTTCCACTGAAGACAGGATAGTGCTTGTCCTACTACTTTGTAAGATTGGGATGCTAATAATTTGGAGGTCAAAAAGACTCACTTTGAAGTAAGATAGGTCTGAGTGGGAATCCTGACTCCGCCAGTTCCCAAGGATATATAACCTTGAGCAAATTACTCAGTCCCCGGCTGGCTTACGTTTTTAATCCGTTAAGTGAAATTAATATTGTGTCTCCCTCATAGGACTGTGGTGTGGATTAAATAAATTGAGTCATAGAAAGTCATTAGGACAGAGCCTGGCACATACCAAGCCCTACTTTCAGGAGAGGCAGGCATCCCAACAGAAATGGGATGGAGGGATGATGATGAAGAGAATACTGTCTCATCTATTTTCTAGCAAAGTGATCCCCAGGGAAAGGTTAACGGGGGTTATGTACACTGAAAGGAAGGAAGAGGGGGGTTAACAGATGGGATGCTAAGCTGCTGGTCTCCAGACCCACCTGTGAGCAGATCAGTCAGAGCCTGCGCCCTGAGGGCCCCCCCCCCCCCCGTACCTGCACCGCTGCGGCGGGTGCTCATGTCCGCCACGTACGCCCACTCGTTGGTCGCCGGGTTGTACTGCTCCACGGTGCTCAGGCACTGGCGGGAAGCCCCGTCGTAACCGCCAACAGCATAGAGCTTTCCTGGAACAGACAGAGTAGCTGAGGATGGTGCCCGGGACACTGGCATGAAACCAACTCCACCTTTAACCCACTGGGCACCCTCATCTGCATCAGAGCTCAGGCCCCCTTCCCTCCCCAGCCAGGATAAGCCTCCTTCACACACTTCTCAAGACTTCAACTTCTTCCTGTGTACTGAGCTCCTCACAGCTCAGAGGTGTGTATGGCTCAGCACTGCCGGGGCCCGGCATATTCTTACTGGTGAACCATGCCAGGTGTTCTCCAGAATGAGGTACTGAGAGGTAGAAAACAAGAGGGCCCCAGCTACAGGCAGGCAGGCTGGTTCTCTGGCTAAATGCTCACACTGGCAGACAGAACAAATACGGGGAAATATTCTCTGGTAAGAACCCAAACTCTGACTTAGCCATGGTTTGTGCTCTGTCCGCAACTCTCACGGGTGGAGCATGTGAGTGGAGGGCTCGGTGTGCATGCTGGGCTGACGTGGCTGGAGTGAGTCTGCACACTCCCTTGTGATCTCTGAGCCCTGAAGCAAAATCACTGACTTGTAAAATAAAAATACCACAAGCTGTTAGCTAAGAGCATCATTTCTGCCTGAGATGGGGATGAGGTTGGGAAAAGGACATTATTTGACTTCTCCCAGAGCAGGGGTTGAAACATTTTGGGCTAAACATGTAGTCTTAGAATAAAGTAGGAGGGTCTCGCGTGTGTGTGTGTGTGTGTGTGTGTGTGTGTGTGCGCGATTGGGAATCCTGGCTTACCCAGAATCCTAGTTTACCCGTAGACCCCAAACCTAAGGGGGACCATGGAGTTATAACAAAGATCTTAAACACTATAGACTAAATAACCACCACCAGATGAAAATCTACTTAACAGAGTTACTTAAAATATTTTTGTCAACTTGTGCTTCCTTAATAGAGAAATACCAAGAGCACAACTACTGTAGTGTGTGAAAATCTGCCGTTATTTTATGCTAGAAAAAGATTCTCAGGCTCAAAACGATGCTCGAGCATCAGGACTCTTGCCATATCAGGATTCTACCACCAACTGCCCTGCAGGGGCTTAAATCTGTTCAATTGTTTTTTTCTTCTGTCCTTGGGCCTGGTGTTGTTTTCTACCCCACAGTCCTTCCAACTGGCCCTTCTATAAAAAGGAGCACCTCCTCCCCAGTTCTGCCCGAGAGAGAAAACTGACTCAGCAGCTCCTCCGGGTCCAGGCCACGCTCTCAGTGTGTGCTGGCTCGGACACAACCACCTGCTCACCCAGCTGCCCGCCGCTCGTCAAAGCCTAATGTCAGGGAGGAGAAAGGCCTTGGGTGTGAGGGAGACGAGAAGCTCTGGAGGGCAACCCCAGGTGAGAGGCAGGAGTGGCCCAGGTGATCTCCTAGAAACCTATTTCTCCAAAACGCGTGACCTCCGCTCCTTGGAGCTTTTGCCTAATCTCTGAGCCTCACTGTCCCTTTTCCTAAGTAGGAATTCTTCTAAGCAGCCAGTAGCAAATGATCCTGATCTCCACTCTTTGTTTTCTTCTGGTGTCATTCAGCCTGTATAGCCGTGGTCAGGGGATGATGAGAGGGAGGAGCCACGTGGAAACTATGTGGAGAACTGCATCGACAAGGCCACCGTGAAGCCGAGTCCACTACAGATCCTCCCTTTAAGGACTCTGCTGCCCAGGATCAGTCACAGCCAAAAGAGCTTCTGACTCAGGATGGACAAGGTGAACAAATGCCCACAGGCATGAGACAAGACAGCCTTCTCCCACATAAGACAACGTGCTCCCGAAAGCCCCTGTCAAAGGGAGTATTTGGAATGACAGCCATGGAGGTGCCTCCTGTAATCCCCATCAACCATTCCGACCCTGTGTCAGCTGGAAAATACCCTCTCAAAGTTCTCCTTGAACCCATTAACAGGGATATGCTATTTAAACCCCTACTTGATTGTTTGGTACTCCTGGCTAAGGAACGAGGGGTGAAATGGGAAGGTGGCTAGACAAAGCACTTATTTTGGCAGACAAATCAATTTCTGTTCCACTAGGAGGATGAGATTGCAAGAAATAATTTATCTTTGCAGAGGATAAAATACTTGCGCTCACTAAGATGGCCTGTCCAGGTCTTAGAATAATATGAAAATTTAAACTACACAATACTGTACAGGGTGAGAAATGCAATGAGAAAAGAGAATCCTTCTATTGATGTCTAATTCACTGCACATTACACTCTGCACAGAGCACTCTGTGGTCTTGTGTGTGCCTGTGAGAGAGAGAGAAAATGCACATATCTGAATGCCCAGGGAGCATATCTGAATGCTCAATCCACCTCGGGACAGCTAGTAAAACAGTGTTGTCCTGCAAAGTATAACGTTTTAGCCCAAATAATATGCTATGCTTTAATTCACACAGATTTGTAAAAACCCCATTGCATTTTCTAATGGTCTGAAGGAGTAGCACAGTGGAAAGAGCTCTGGGTTAAGAAGTTAGACCTGAGTTCAAGGACCCACTGTGCTATTTGCTTACAAGAAGCAAATCACTCACCCCCACTCTGGGACTCGGTTGGCCAGAATGGAAGAAATCTAAATCTTACCTATCTCCTTCAGAAGAGTTTGGGAGGTAGGGGGGAGAGAGAGAGGAGGGCAGTAATTGGATGTGAAAGCCATTTACAAATTTCAATGTGCTGTCTAACTAAGCTCCATATCTGCCCACTCCCTCCCACACCACCCCACACACCTTTCCTGACTGGAGCAGGAGTCTACCACCAACCTGCCCTGCAGGGACTAATCAGGCCTGGGAAGAGGTGCCCACCACACTCAGGTTTTTAATGTTCACCCTGAGGACAAAATTAAAGAGTTAACTCTCACCCCCTCTACATATTGACTCTGGATCCCTGTCCCTTCCCACTTCCCAACATGTAGCAGCGCTATTAACAAGTGGCCAAAGTGATAAGTAGGCATTTCCCTTCTAGGCTCCTCCTAGTTTACTGACTTATTTGCTTGGGCCAGTAGCTTCACTTCTGAGTCTCCCTTTTCTCCTCTGTTAAAATAGGACTCTAGTACCTGACTCAAAGCAGTAGTGAAAGGAACAGAGAACCAGGAGAAGGCCCAGGCCGGGCCGGGCCAGGCCATACCCACTGCTGCTCCTTACCCTCCACGACACCCACACCCACACTGCTCCGCCGTGTATTCATTGGGGCCACGAAGAACCACTCGTTGGTCTTGTAGCTGTAGGCTTCCACCGATGCTAAGCCTGGGGGATGAGAGATTTGTGAGATTTCCATGGTACCAAGCCTCACCCTGCTGTGCTGGGAAACTGAGGTGGGGAAGAGTGCAGACCTGAGTGTATGGCTCAGCACTGCCTCAGCCCACATGGCACCTGCCCAAAACACATCTGCAAGGGCAGGGGTTACAACTGTACTGCTTTGCAAACATAAATTGTTAAATCTACAGAATGGAATAAATACCAGAGGCTGCTTCACTGAACACCTACCAATTACAACACTCCTATTCCCTTCTACCTTAGAGGCTGAAAAGCTGAACACTTGCCTTCCCAGACTCCCTTGCAACTAGGGGTAACCAAATCAATATGACCTACCCAGAAGTCTGATGGGGATTTCTGAAATAGCCCTCCTGCTTTTTTGTGCCTGGAACACACACATATTGGCTGTAATGGCCGTCTTGTGATCATGAGGATAAGGCCAGGAGACTCTTACAGAACTTGGCACCAATATTGTTGAGCAACTGGATCAAGTCAGTAACTGCCAATCTCTAGACTTCTTGTTTCATGAGGAAAACAAAATCTCACAGCATTGATGGAACTCGAGAGCATTATGCTAAGTGAAATAAGTCAGTCACAAAAAGAACAATGTCACATGATCTCACTCATTTATGGAATATAATGAACAACCTAAACTGATGGACAAAAACAGATCCAGAGACAGAGAATCATGGATCAGACTGTCTAATCTCAGAGAGAAGGTAGGGGAGGGTCGGGGTAAGGGGAAGAGATTAACCAAAGGACTTGTATGCATGCATATAAGCCTAACCAATGGACACAGACAACAGGGGGTAACGTCATGAGTGGGGGGATAAAGGGGAGTGGTGGGGGAATAAGGTCACATAATATAATACCTTAATCAATAAAGAAAAATTTTTTTAAATCTCTCATTTTTTTAAAGCCACAGTTTACTCAGTTTTTCTAATTACAACCAAAAGAAAATCCTAAAAGAATTCTAAAAAACACACACACACACAATGTCCTACACCCTTTTGTTCTCTTTATTCCCAGGTCCTGTTACTATGAGCACTACAAACCCTGAAGTTACATGAGTGAGGCTAAGAGAAGGCTGGTAAAGGTCACCAACTTGTAAAGACACACATGAAAATTTAGAGAAGTGACAAATATTGTTTTCAAATCCTGGGGCCAAAAGATAACATTTTATTTTAATAGAGGTATTGTCTGCAAAGACTTTACCTGGAGACATGAGGAGAAATGAGATAATTTCTCCAAGTCCATGTCTGATTCTAACTTTGAAGCTAGATGACAACGAGGAACAAGGGAACATTCCTGCAGAGGCATAACTCGCAGAGATTCAGTGGGGCTTCAGGCTGTGTCCTGAGCTAGGTCTCTTGCTATGGGTGAACCTTAGCTCCCTCATCCGTCCAACACTGGGTTCAGACTACAGTGCCGATTCGCCTTCTAGGTAAGCACACTCTCTTTCTAAGTCTCATCTTCTGAATAAATGGTTCCCAGCTACTGGAAAGGAGAATGGGCCCTCTTCTGCCTACAGGGTCCATCCTGGAGCCCTAGAAATGACAGCACATGGCAGTTACATGTTCTTTACATATTCCAAACCTGAATCTGGCACCCAAGCTGGGAGAAAGGATGGGTATGTTCTTAGGGAAGTAAATATGGATGGACAGAAGGGTTGGCCCAAGAACTGGCTGAGCAAACCAGGGTTGTGGAGGGTGTGTCTCAGGCTGGGGCAGGTGGGGACCATGTCCAGGACCTACCAGTACTGCCATCAAAGCCCCCCACGGCGTAGAGCAGGTCATTGAGCACGGCTGCCCCCAGTGTGCTCCGGCGTTCCTGCATGCTGGCAATGGACGTCCACTGGTCCTTCACACCGTCATACACATCCACTGTCCGCACACGCAGCGAGCCGTTAAACCCGCCCACAGCATACACGTGGCCAGCCATGAACACCACACCTGAGGCACGGGAAACCAAGACACACTGAGATCGTCTCAGGCGTGTGAATAACTCGCCACAGAAGATGATCTCCACCCTTAGACATTTGGAAGTCATTATGGAATTCATTGGATTTTTTTTTTTCATTTTTGCTTTTCTAATTTTGTTTAATTCAAGCAAATACTTGAATTTTAGCTGAAGTCCCTAAACACGTTAAGAACTGACCCCAGAAGGGATAGCTAGAAACTGGGCAGGCGGGAAGGAAAAGAGAGTCTGTCACGCACAGATGGTTGGGGAAATGGGAGCAGAGCAGGCCTCGGGCACGGGGCAGAGGCCCGCAGCGGAGGCCGCTGGGCACGGAGGCGGGGCTGCTCACCTGCTCTGCACCTCCTGGACGGAAGCTCGGCAATCTGGTCCCATCGGTCCTCCTCGAAGTCATAGCACTCCACGCTGCGGATCGCCTTCGGCGCCTGGCCACCGACCACAATCATGACCTCCGGAGAGACAGGTGAACATTAGCTGGGTCTCCCCAACATCGGACTCAAGGGTGATCAGTCCCTGGTGCTTTCACGTGCTAAGTGCCCAGGGTCCATGGGTAACCTGAGATGCCAGTTTACAGAGCCACATATAGGAAGATGCCGCCTCTAATCACCAACAGGCATGACTATTCAAAAAAGCCTAATGAGTGTCTTCCCACAGAAACACAACCATAAGGTCCGTGTTTCCCAGATGCCACTGGCAGGGCTATCTATATTCAGAGTACTAAATCTTATATTAAAACCAAATATTCTAAAATATATATATCAAAATGTGAGTATATTTTAGAATAGAGTGCAGAATTCGGGTGCATTTTTAAGACAACGTGGTTTTTACAATATTTCTGAATGCATACACTACAGGGAGTACTTATTCATTGCAGTATGGAAAATATTTGTGAAACACTGCTTTGTGGTGGTTAGCACAAAAATGTATGTAACTGATGATGATCTGAAAATCAGTGCTAACAGTACCATTGCAAAGAAAGGTGGTAGCTACCACTGCCAGCCATTGTACGAAATATGTTGTCATTCCCTTGTCACAACTCTGTGAGGTAGATATTATCAACTGCATTGACAGGTGAGAAAAGTAAAGCTCAGAGAACTACATTGCCCAAGGTCACAGAGCTAAGAGTGGCAGAACAGGGACTAAAAGTCAAGTCTACCTGACACAGAGGTGAGGCCAGCCCCATCCCTCTCCTGCTCTACAGACAGGGTCCATGCAAAGATAGCTCACCACATCCATGTTTTTCAAACTGCAGGTCATGGTTCAACAGTGGGCCATGGGATCAATTTAGTGGATTGCAACAAGCATACTTTTAATAAACAGCACATAAAATATAATAAGGGTATTATTGCACAAAATATTTGTCCTGGTTATACACACATATGTGTCTTGGAGAGCAATTCAAGCATATTTCTTAGTGTAGAGCAGGGGTGGGGAACCTTTTCTCTGCCAAGGGCCATTTGGATATTTGTAACATCATTTCCGGGTCATTCAAAATTATCAACTTAACAATTAGCCTGCTGTATTTGGTCAAACATTTCATTAACTCACCCCCAATGTCTTGGTAGGGCCACACCAAATTATTTCTCTGGCCTTATACAGCTCTTGGGCCAGAGGATCCCCACCCCTTGTGTAAGGTATAATATAAATAAATAAATAAACAAATAAATAAATAAAGTAAATGCCATTCTTCTGGCCACAGTAATAGAACTGCAGTACTTAACTGTGGTATCCCTGTTGTGACTTTCGTTACATGTTATTAATAAGAAAAATTAAGGTATCAAAGTTAATAATATGTTAAATATTTTAATAAATTTGTGCAAATTCATGGCTGTCTTCATAATGACATCACTCTCACTCACAAAATACTTTCTTTTAAAAAAACAAAACAAAACAAAACCATTTTTTGTTGATTTTACAGAAGAGTAAGAGAGATAAAAACATCAATTGACTGCCTCCTGCACGCCCCTTACTGGGGATCGAGCCCACAATCCAGGCAGGTACCCTGATCTTAACAAACCAATAACCTACTGGTTCATGGGTCGATGTTAATCACTGAGCCACACCAGCTGGGCTCCAAGACACTTTCATAAGAGGAGAAAATGGGGTGGAAGTCATAAGCAACTAATCAATATAAGTCATAGAATTTTCTCATTACCTATAGCATGTCTTATTTATTCCAGTGGTTCTTAAACTTCATGGCCCATAAGAATCACCTTGAGGGTTTGTTAAAACACAAATCGTTGGGTCCTGCCAGTTTCTAACTCAGTAGGTCTGGAGTAAGACGGAGAGTCTGCATTTCTAACAAGATCCAGTTGATGCTGCTGCTGTTCCAAGATTCATACTTTGATAACCATTGTTTTAACCCATAAACCACAGGGATTTCCTGGTGACGTGCCAGTAACAATTTTTGCCATTATGAATTATTGTAGTGCTCTTTACTTCTTCCACAATTTATTTTTGGGGAGAGAAGTATCACCAAAATCTGTGTGAGTTCACAGAAGTAGGATGCATCCCTCAGGTGAACAGTATCCGCGATATGAGGAGGCAGACAAACACTGCTCAAAATATCAAGCCTGTTTCCCCCAAGATTCCAGATTCAGGCTCACCCACTGCCTGTGTAGTCCATCACTGGTCATCAGAGTTAGTCCACAGATGTCTGGGGCCAAATGGATGACCGATGTCCAACAACTCGGAATTTAGTTCTGACTTCTGGAACATCCCAAAGGAACCCAGAACACAGTTCAGGCTTAGATCTGCAGCTGCTTCTGGAAATAAACATTCTCCACGTGACTTTCCTTCGTGCCTAGGCACAAAGGGCCCATGCTCTCTTTCAAGAGCAGCCCTTTCTCAGAGGGAAGCTGAATTCAACACTGCTTCCCACCTGCCATTATTCTCTTAGAAAGGCATGCATGAACAGTTTAAGGGGGTGTTAATGGACAAAGCCTCTCCACAAACTTCAGACAATACCCAAACCATCCAGGGCCAAATGACTTGCCCTGCATTCATAAACATACCTAGAACTTGCATTGTCCTTCTAGATTTGAGTTGATAAAGCTAACATGAAGTCAAATTATTGCAAAGATTTTCTTTGAAATCTAATTTGGGGAGTTCAGTGAGAATCAGACCAGTGTTAAGATCTTTCCCCCCAGTGACCTCAGGCACCCACACACTCATATGTGCGGTTTCCACTCTTTGAAATATTCCTCTTCCCTTCTGATCCCTCTGCTTCCACACACTTCTTCTGGGTCTCAGTTTACAAGTCACTTCTTCCAAAATGGTCTCTCTGACTTCCAAATCTGAGTTTATGTCCCTTCTTTGAGATCACACATGCCCTGTGCTCTTCCATTAAAACTGCCCATCATTGGCTGAAGCCGGTTTGGCTCAGTGGTAGAGCGTCGGTCTGCGGACTGAAAGGTCCCAGGTTCGATTCCGGTCAAGGGCATGTACATTGGTTTCGGGCACATCCCCAGTAGGGGGTGTGCAAGAGGCAGCTAGCCGATATTTCTCTCTCATCAACGTTTCTAGCTATCTCTCTCCCTTCCTCTCTGTTAAAAAAATCAACAAAATATATTTTAAAAACAAAAACAAAAAAAACCCCTGCCCATCATTGTACTTGAACTGTCTGGCGACCTTGTCTCCCTCCTAGAAGTGAGTCCTGCCAGGACAGGAAATTTATCACCTCAGTCACCAAGATAATCCTAGGGTCTTATGGTGCTATGTCAAAGCAAGAACTCAAATATTTATTTAGAATAGAGAATGAATGAATGAATAGCAAATAGCACATGCAAAGAGTTTAATGGAAGACATACACAGTTAAAGGGGGAAAATACACAGGCCAGAAAGTCATTTTCTTGGGTTAAGACATATTAGGCACCTAATTACAATTTTGGGGATGCTGAGGAAAAACAAATAAAAAGAGAAAGAGCTTTTTCCATCTTTTGACTCAATTATCAGAAGAAATGTTTCATTCTTTGTACAAGCTGTAAATTAAAAAGGCAAAGCTTTCAGGAAAGTTGACCATCCCCAGAAACCACTTTCCCCCCAGGGGTACACCAGGTGGTACATTCACATTGAAGAAAATCCAGCATCCATCTCTGAGAGTTTTCATAGTACAGAGAAACAGAATTATAGAAAATACAATGTGCCAATCAAACATGAGTAGAAAGACAAAAATAATACAGGACAAGGTTTTCAAAATAAACTTGCCTTTGAGCTCATAAAACCACTGGTGAGAGAAGACTTTTAATATCCAAAACTTGTGCAATGATTTGGAAAGAGTAATTATGGGGTTTTGTGGAATAGGCTATCAGTTTCTGAAAATGTGGAGGTAGCCCAAAGCAGAGAGAAGTATCTTTCTGCTTGTCTCTTAAAAAATCCAGTTTCTATGGCAGCTCTTACAAAAAAAGCCATCATACAAGGAACACTACACTCATCATCATGTAATTGTGCACAATAAAAAGAAAAAATTTCCAGCCAAAACCGGTTTGGCTCAGTAGATAGTGCATTGGTCTGAGGCTGAAGGGTCCCAGGTTTGATTCCGATCAAGGGCATGTACCTTGGTTGCAGGCACATCCCCAGTAGGGGGTGTGCAGAAGGCAGCTGGTCGATGTTTCTCTCTCATAGATGTTTCTAGCTCTCTATCCCTCTCCCTTCCTCTCTGTAAAAAATAAATAAAATATTTTTTTTAAAGAAAAAATTTCCTGAATTTTTGAAATGTCTAAAATAATAATGAGTGATTGTTTCCATAGATACCTGATCTTAGCAACCAATTAGACAAAAAGGAGTACTCACCAAGATCTATACGCATTACATCTCTGAAACTATAAACCTCTAGTGATTTTTTTTAATATATATATTTTATTGATTTTTTACAGAGAGGAAGAGAGAGGAATAGAAAGCTAGAAACATCGATGAGAGAGAATCATTGATCAGCTGCCTCTTGCACATGCCCTAACCGGGATGTGCCAGCAACCAAAGTACATGCCCTTGACCGGAATCGAACCTGGGACCTTTTAGTCCGCAGGCCAACACTCTATCCACTGAGCCAAACCGGTTTCGGCAAACCTCTAATGATTTAAGACCATGAGATAGCAGGGCAAAAAGAGCCCTGAACCATTTTCTAATTGCAAACCCTCATTTTACATTTTCAGAAAATCTCAGTCCCAAGGAGTTCATAGACATGTTTGTTTCTTTCCCCAACACCCCTAAATCCCAATTTACTAAATATTTGTAATGCCTTTAATAGCAATTACTGATTCAAATCAGCCTATTCAATGATCCCTACTTTTAACATTTATCTTTCAAGGTAACCCTGAGTTAAGAACTACCAGTGGCCATATGGGAATCACAATAAACTAAAGAACCGGTTCCAGGCTAGTGATTATGATTTAATCATGCTCAAGAATTGCAATGCACTTGGGGGTCTCTCAGGGCACCCAGCCCCCCCCAA